CAGGTGAGTGTGTGACCAGGTGAGTGTGTGAGTGTGTGACCAGGTGAGTGTGTGACCAGGTGAGTGTGTGGCCAGGTGAGTGTGTGAGTGTGTGACCAGGTGAGTGTGTGAGTGGGTGACCAGGTGAGTGTGTGGCCAGTTTAGTGTGTGACCAGGTGAGTGTGTGACCAGGTGAGTGTGTGAATGTGTGACCAGGTGAGTGTGTGACCAGGTGAGTGTGTGACCAGGTGAGTGTGTGAATGTGTGACCAGGTGAGTGTGTGAATGTGTGACCAGGTGAGTGTGTGACCAGGTGAGTGTGTGACCAGGTGAGTGTGTGAGTGTGTGACCAGGTGAGTGTGTGAGTGGGTGACCAGGTGAGTGGGTGACCAGGTGAGTGTGTGGCCAGGTGAGTGTGTGGCCAGGTGAGTGTGTGGCCAGGTGAGTGTGTGACCAGGTGAGTGTGTGACCGTGTGAGTGTGTGACCAGGTGAGTGTGTGAGTGTGTGACCAGGTGAGTGTGTGAGTGTGTGACCAGGTGAGTGTGTGACAGGTGAGTGTGTGACCAGGTGAGTGTGTGAGTGTGTGACCAGGTGAGTGTGTGACCAGGTGAGTGTGTGACCAGGTGAGTGTGTGACCAGGTGAGTGTGTGACCAGGTGAGTGTGTGACCAGGTGAGTGTGTGACCAGGTGAGTGTGTGACCAGGTGAGTGTGTGAGTGTGTGACCAGGTGAGTGTGTGAGTGTGTGACCAGGTGAGTGTGTGATTGTGTGACCAGGTGAGTGTGTGACCAGGTGAGTGTGTGACCAGGTGAGTGTGTGACCAGGTGAGTGTGTGACCAGGTGAGTGTGTGGCCAGGTGAGTGTGTGACCAGGTGAGTGTGTGACCAGGTGAGTGTGTGACCAGGTGAGTGTGTGAGTGTGTGAGTGTGTGACCAGGTGAGTGTGTGACCAGGTGAGTGTGTGACCAGGTGAGTGTGTGACCAGGTGAGTGTGTGACCAGGTGAGTGTGTGACCAGGTGAGTGTTTGACCAGGTGAGTGTGTGAGTGTGTGGCCAGGTGAGTGTGTGAGTGTGTGGCGAGGTGAGTGTGTGACCAGGTGAGTGTGCGACCAGGTCAGTGTGTGACCAGGTGAGAGTGTGTCCAGGTGAGTGTGTGACCAGGTGAGTGTGTGACCAGGTGAGTGTGTGACCAGGTGAGTGTGTGACCAGGTGAGTGTGTGACCAGATGAGTGTGTGAGTTTGTGACCAGGTGAGTGTGTGAGTGTGTGGCCAGGTGAGTGTGTGACCAGGTGAGTGTGTGACCAGGTGAGTGTGTGAGTGTGTGACCAGGTGAGTGTGTGACCAGGTGAGTGTGTGACCAGGTGAGTGTGTGAGTGTGTGACCAGGTGAGTGTGTGAGTGGGTGACCAGGTGAGTGTGTGGCCAGTTTAGTGTGTGACCAGGTGAGTGTGTGACCAGGTGAGTGTGTAAATGTGTGACCAGGTGAGTGTGTGACCAGGTGAGTGTGTGACCAGGTGAGTGTGTGAATGTGTGACCAGGTGAGTGTGTGAATGTGTGACCAGGTGAGTGTGTGACCAGGTGAGTGTGTGACCAGGTGAGTGTGTGAGTGTGTGACCAGGTGAGTGTGTGAGTGGGTGACCAGGTGAGTGGGTGACCAGGTGAGTGTGTGGCCAGGTGAGTGTGTGGCCAGGTGAGTGTGTGAACAGGTGAGTGTGTGACAAGGTGAGTGTGTGGCCAGGTGAGTGTGTGACCAGGTGAGTGTGTGAGTGTGTGACCAGGTGAGTGTGTGAGTGTGTGACCAGGTGAGTGTGTGACAGGTGAGTGTGTGACCAGGTGAGTGTGTGAGTGTGTGACCAGGTGAGTGTGTGACCAGGTGAGTGTGTGACCAGGTGAGTGTGTGACCAGGTGAGTGTGTGACCAGGTGAGTGTGTGACCAGGTGAGTGTGTGACCAGGTGAGTGTGTGAGTGTGTGACCAGGTGAGTGTGTGAGTGTGTGACCAGGTGAGTGTGTGAGTGTGTGACCAGGTGAGTGTGTGACCAGGTAAGTGTGTGACCAGGTGAGTGTGTGACCAGGTGAGTGTGTGACCAGGTGAGTGTGTGGCCAGGTGAGTGTGTGACCAGGTGAGTGTGTGACCAGGTGTGTGTGACCAGGTGAGTGTGTGAGTGTGTGAGTGTGTGACCAGGTGAGTGTGTGACCAGGTGAGTGTGTGGCCAGGTGAGTGTGTGACCAGGTGATAGTGTGACCAGGTGAGTGTGTGACCAGGTGAGTGTGTGAGTGTGTGACCAGGTGAGTGTGTGACAGGTGAGTGTGTGAGTGTGTGAGTGTGTGACCAGGTGAGTGTGTGGCCAGGTGAGTGTTTGACCAGGTGAGTGTGTGACCAGGTGAGTGTGTGAGTGTGTGACCAGGTGAGTGTGTGAGTGGGTGACCAGGTGAGTGGGTGACCAGGTGAGTGTGTGGCCAGGTGAGTGTGTGGCCAGGTGAGTGTGTGACCAGGTGAGTGTGTGACAAGGTGAGTGTGTGGCCAGGTGAGTGTGTGACCAGGTGAGTGTGTGAGTGTGTGACCAGGTGAGTGTGTGAGTGTGTGACCAGGTGAGTGTGTGACAGGTGAGTGTGTGACCAGGTGAGTGTGTGAGTGTGTGACCAGGTGAGTGTGTGACCAGGTGAGTGTGTGACCAGGTGAGTGTGTGACCAGGTGAGTGTGTGACCAGGTGAGTGTGTGACCAGGTGAGTGTGTGACCAGGTGAGTGTGTGACCAGGTGAGTGTGTGAGTGTGTGACCAGGTGAGTGTGTGAGTGTGTGACCAGGTGAGTGTGTGAGTGTGTGACCAGGTGAGTGTGTGACCAGGTGAGTGTGTGACCAGGTGAGTGTGTGACCAGGTGAGTGTGTGGCCAGGTGAGTGTGTGACCAGGTGAGTGTGTGACCAGGTGAGTGTGTGACCAGGTGAGTGTGTGAGTGTGTGAGTGTGTGACCAGGTGAGTGTGTGACCAGGTGAGTGTGTGACCAGGTGAGTGTGTGACCAGGTGAGTGTGTGACCAGGCGAGTGTGTGACCAGGTGAGTGTGTGAGTGTGTGACCAGGTGAGTGTGTGAGTGTGTGAGTGTGTGACCAGGTGAGTGTGTGGCCAGGTGAGTGTGTGGCCAGGTGAGTGTGTGACCAGGTGAGTGTGTGAGTGTGTGACCAGGTGAGTGTGTGAGTGTGTGACCAGGTGAGTGTGTGACAGGTGAGTGTGTGAGTGTGTGACCAGGTGAGTGTGTGGCCAGGTGAGTGTGTGACCAGGTGAGTGTGTGAGTGTGTGGCCAGGTGAGTGTGTGACCAGGTGAGTGTGTGACCAGGTGAGTGTGTGACCAGGTGAGTGTGTGACCAGGTGAGTGTGTGACCAGGTGAGTGTGTGACCAGGTGAGTGTGTGACCAGGTGAGTGTTTGACCAGGTGAGTGTGTGACCAGGTGAGTGTGTGAGTGTGTGACCAGGTGAGTATGTGACCAGGTGAGTGTGTGGCCAGGTGAGTGTGTGAGTGTGTGACCAGGTGAGTGTGTGAGTGGGTGACCCGGTGAGTGTGTGGCCAGTTTAGTGTGTGACCAGGTGAGTGTGTGACCAGGTGAGTGTGTAAATGTGTGACCAGGTGAGTGTGTGACCAGGTGAGTGTGTGACCAGGTGAGTGTGTGAATGTGTGACCAGGTGAGTGTGTGAATGTGTGACCAGGTGAGTGTGTGACCAGGTGAGTGTGTGACCAGTTGAGTGTGTGAGTGTGTGACCAGGTGAGTGTGTGAGTGGGTGACCAGGTGAGTGGGTGACCAGGTGAGTGTGTGGCCAGGTGAGTGTGTGGCCAGGTGAGTGTGTGACCAGGTGAGTGTGTGACCAGGTGAGTGTGTGAGTGTGTGACCAGGTGAGTGTGTGAGTGTGTGACCAGGTGAGTGTGTGGCCAGGTGAGTGTGTGACCAGGTGAGTGTGTGACCAGGTGAGTGTGTGATTGTGTGACCAGGTGAGTGTGTGAGTGTGTGACCAGGTGAGTTTGTGACCAGGTGAGTGTGTGAACAGGTGAGTGTGTGAGTGTGTGACCAGGTGAGTGTGTGAGTGTGTGACCAGGTGAGTGTGTGACCAGGTGAGTGTGTGAATGTGTGACCAGGTGAGTGTGTGACCAGGTGAGTGTGTCAACAGGTGAGTGTGTGACCAGGTGAGTGTGTGACCAGGTGAGTGTGTGACCAGGTGAGTGTGTGACCAGGTGAGTGTGTGACCAGGTGAGTGTATGACCAGTTGAGTGTGTGACCAGGTGAGTGTGTGACCAGGTGAGTGTGTGACCAGGTGAGTGTGTGACCAGGTGAGTGTGTAACCAGGTGAGTGTGTGACCAGGTGAGTGTATGACCAGGTGAGTGTGTGAGTGTGTGACCAGGTGAGTGTGTGACCAGGTGAGTGTGTGACCAGGTGAGTGTTTGACCAGGTGAGTGTGTGACCAGGTGAGTGTGTGACCAGGTGAGTGTGTGAGTGTGTGACCAGGTGAGTGTGTGACCAGGTGAGTGTATGACCAGGTGAGTGTGTGAGTGTGTGACCAGGTGAGTGTGTGACCAGGTGAGTGTGTGACCAGGTGAGTGTTTGACCAGGTGAGTGTGTGACCAGGTGAGTGTGTGACCAGGTGAGTGTGTGACCAGGTGAGTGTTTGACCAGGTGAGTGTGTGACCAGGTGAGTGTATGACCAGGTGAGTGTGTGAGTGTGTGACCAGGTGAGTGTGTGACCAGGTGAGTGTGTGACCAGGTGAGTGTGTGAATGTGTGACCAGGTGAGTGTGTGACCAGGTGAGTGTGTGAATGTGTGACCAGGTGAGTGTGTGAGTGTGTGACCAGGTGAGTGTGTGACCAGGTGAGTGTGTGAACAGGTGAGTGTGTGACCAGGTGAGTGTGTGACCATGTTAGTGTGTGAGTATGTGAATAGTTGAATGTGTGTCACTAGATGTGTGTGTGTGTCAGTGTGACCAGATGTGACGACATAATCTGACCATCTTGTCACGTGGTGTAAAACCATCTGTCCTCAGATGACCTTAGCTGACCTAGTTGTGTGGAACAGCATCACGAGCTTCGAGAACCGTCTCAAGGTCACAGGTCTGGTCGACAACTGCACGGAGGTCAAGGATCTATTCGCCAGAGTCTCCAGCTCACAGAGAATCGCAGACTACGTGGCGCGCAGAAAACCAACAGAGTTCTGACACATGACCTCGCGCCATTGGCTTGTAGTGTTAACAATACAAGGTTGATAGATGGACTTGTAATGTTAACAATACAAGGTTGATAGATTGGCTTGTAGTGTTAACAATACAAGGTTGATAGATTGGCTTGTAGTGTTATCAATACAAGGTTGATAGATTGGCTTGTAGTGTTAACAATACAACGTTGATAGATTGGCTTGTAGTGTTAACAATACAAGGTTGATAGATTGGCTTGTAGTGTTAACAATACAAGGTTGATAGATGGGCTTGTAGTGTTAACAATACAAGGTTGATAGATTGGCTTGTAGTGTTAACAATACAAGGTTGATAGATTGGCTTGTAGTGTTAACAATACAAGGTTGATAGATTGGCTTGTAGTGTTAACAATACAAGGTTGATAGATTGGCTTGTAGTGTTAACAATACAAGGTTGATAGATTGGCTTGTAGTGTTAACAATACAAGGTTGATAGATGGGCTTGTAGTGTTAACAATACAAGGTTGATAGATTGGCTTGTAGTGTTAACAATACAAGGTTGATAGATTGGCTTGTAGTGTTAACAATACAAGGTTGATAGATTGGCTTGTAATGTTAACAATACAAGGTTGATAGATTGGCTTGTAATGTTAACAATACAAGGTTGATAGATTGGCTTGTAGTGCTAACAATACAAGGTTGATAGATTGGCTTGTAATGTTAACAATACAAGGTTGATAGATTGGCTTGTAGTGCTAACAATACAAGGTTGATAGATTGGCTTGTAGTGCTAACAATACAAGGTTGATAGATTGGCTTGTAATGTTAACAATACAAGGTTGATAGATTGGCTTGTAGTGCTAACAATACTTTGCTAAAAGACTGGCTACCTATACGTTTGAACAGCTGAGAAAAAGAGAGGGGTGGTGTGGGAAACTTCTTTAAGTTGTTGTCAGCTGAAAGAGTAGTCGCCCATTTGTTGACAAACTTGTTTCTTGATTGGTGGGAAAATAAATGAATGAAAATTGTAAGGTCTACATTTTTTTGTAAGAATCTATGAAAAATCTCAAGCTAAATAGCGCTATATAATAGAACCCCATTGGACCGCTCGCAACAGTGCCCCACCTCGCAACCTACACTGTTTTTGAGCGTCCACTTAAGCATTCTTTTTACTGGCGGTGGAGTGCTGACTGTTATTATCTGATGAGCCAACTTTCCTAACCGTGGTGACTCAAAGACAACATTGTACGGACAGAGGTAAATGTCACATTTAATTCCCGCGCGCACACACACACACCGCAATACTATAACAAATCGCACTAGCAACACACTTATTCAACACAACACAACACACTCACACAACACACACAATACACTATACACGTTAATCGGCTCTCTGTTTACTTGCTTGCAAAGTTAGGCCAATGTTTCCAATTAAAAACACCAAATAAACTACACTTACATAGATGGTCTATAATTAAAAGTATTGACCTCATAGGGATAATGACCTAATTTTGGTTCACTAGCATGCCTTCACCAACAAGAACAAAATATAGATCTAAAGATGTCCGAATTTTCCTGTACTTTATAACACGTTCACAAGAGTTAGATCAAAGACAGTAAAGTAGAGCAGTTGTAGTAGATTATGACAAGTGTAGTAAAATGGAACAAAGGAGTAAAGTACAATAATTTAAGCAACTGGAATAAGTACAATTGGATTAAGGAGAACTAGATTAAGTAAAATTAAAATTACGAGCCGGCCCGCGTCATAACATACGCCGCTATTTAGTTGTTTCTAATTTTCAATAATTCATAATTTGTGAATTCGACAGTACCAACGCTGACACTGAAAATATTTCTTTAAAACACTATAAGTAGCTCGTTAAGGACCATAACCCCCCCCCTTCCTTCCCTCCCCCCCCTCCTCCCCCCCCTACGTTTAAAATCGTTGGCTCTGCTTGTAAACATTTAGAGTGAACACAGCTCACTAAAACCATGTAGGGGTGGGGATGTAGGGAGAGCGTTTGCAGCTTGTTTTCTAACGGCTCGAAGAAGAGAATTATATATATAGATACGTTCTATTTTTTTGTACTCCCAGACAAGACGTATCAAGACAAGACTAAGTCATTATTTATAGCCTTCATAGTTCGTTTACATTACTAAGAGGAGCTAATTTAAAGAAAAACATTTTACTGACAAGTGTAACAGAAATCAAATAAAACTTTTCCTCTTCACTTAGAATGACGTAGAATAAAGGAATTTAAAAGGAACACCTCCCAAATTCTTTATTATAATGACGGATCCCTTGTTCTATTGTTGCACATGGCTGCTTCCGGTTTAGTGGGCGGAATACTGTGTGATTGATTTTAAACCTCCCTAAGGCAAGGGATGCAAACTAATAAGTACTGTAAATGCCTATCTAATCACTAATTGGATTGCAACAGGTTTGTTGAAACTCATCAAAGCGGTAGATTTTAGGGATGATTAAGGATACCGATGTCCTATAGAATCTAATAGCTGACTTTCCAAAAAATAAAAAACAAAGAGATGTGTTTGCACTTGCTGTTTCAGTGTTGTGATTAGTCACTGATTAGTGAGTTTAGTTGGTAATCTATCGTTTAAGGTACGTAAAATCGCCCGCGACTATTAATATGAAAAACAGGTGACTCCTTAAATTTTAATAATTATTTCACATTTTGAGGATTTATCAATTTATGTTTTGAAAAATACAAAAATGTTTACTTTTTTCATTTATTTATGTCATGTACCTGTTTTTAAACAAAACTTTTCAGTAATAAATGACACATGAAGACTAGCGATGTTTCCAACAGATTCAACCATGTTCATTTACTATAGCAGCCATCTTGTTAAAGTTTTTTTTTTGTAAACTTATAGCGCGAGAATCAGGGGAAGCCACTCTATTTTACAAATGGCTGTTGTTTATATATATAGCGAATCGTGTTTGCAAACACTGCTGTTTAAAGTTAATTTCTGGCCTATATTGATATATTTAGACATTGATTTAGGTTTATTATTCATTTATCGATAATATTTGACACAAATATATCACAATATACTATAACTATATAGATCTACTTCTTTTAAACCCTTGACAATGAGGTAACTTTTTCGTCATTACTAGCAATGAGCGATTTTATGTACCTAAAATGATAGATTACCGTTTAGTTTAATCTATATATATATATATAATTCTCTACTTGGAGACGCTAGAAAACAAGCTGTAAGCGCGCTCCCCACCACCCCACCCCTACATGGTCTGGTGAGCTGTGGTTCACGCTAAATGTTTACAATTGTAGAGCTGGGTTTTGTGACGGCTATTAGGGGCAGATAATTTAGTTGGAAATGATTTTAAACTTAGGGGAGGTAACTAAGAGGAGGCTGCTTTCACGGGGGGGGGGGGGGGGTGTAGGGTAGAGGTTGGGGGAAAGGAGGGTGGGGGTAGTATCGTTCTTAATGACTTACTGATAGTGTTTTAAAGCAAATATTTTCAGTGGCAGCATTGGTACTGTCGAATTCACAAATTATGAATTACTGAAAAGTAGAAAATAAAACAACTAAATAGGGGCGTATGATATGCCACGGGTCAGCTCGTATTATAATATATTAGCTGTTTGTCTACTCGATGTTAGATCTAGATCTAGATTGTTTGCAGTTTTGCAATCTCGACTAGCCATGTGTGTATTTTAGTTAACTACTAGTAACCTAACATCCCTTTTTCTAAGAAGATCGAGATTTCTAGATTCTATTATTGGACACTGGTATAAAAAAATACCCCAATTCTTGTCTAGCTAGTAGCTAGATCTAGCTTCTAGGTAATTTCACAATATAGCATCGGAAATTGTTGAGTTTCCTAAACATACATTACTGTAAACCATAGTTTATGTTACCATTGAAATAAAAGCAAGTCAAGTACATTTAATTAATACTTTAACTAAATTTTAAGTTTAATTGGCAGAAAAGTAGCAATAGTCAGTCTCTAAATATTAATAATAAAGTCAAGTGTAGTAAGTAATGTTTTTAAAAAACAGAAAAAAAACATGCTGAAGATTTGCGACAACTAGATTCTAGATCTCGGCCTAGTCAAATAAGACGATTAGAACACTAATGTCTAAAGTCGTAAGAACTAGAACAATGTTTAATAGGAGCAATAATTAAGCTGTTTCCTTTAAGACCCCAATTCAGAAATGTTCTGCTTTACCTTGAATTTAACAGACATTATGTTCTTGTATTTTCCCTATGTTCTTGTATTTTCCATCTCCATGCAACTAAAGGGAGAGTTCTTCTGGCTACTATCTATTTTTGCTAGACATAGACCAAGTTAGTATGAAGGGAAATGGAAAAGTAAAGTATGCTCGTCACAGCATGTATTTATCAACACACAACTGTATACATGGTGTTGACAAGATTTTTAATGTATGAGTGTAGTGACGTCAAGGATATAGAAATAGCACCAGACAAGGCCTTTCACAAAATGTTGGCATGGATAAAAATATGGTTTTTGTCAATTTTGCCCCCATAGTAGTGAATAGTAGCTGTAAAAAAAACTAAAAGACACTTAGGCCTAAAAACATTTCAGAAATTTAATATTTTAAAATCAATGTTGTGAAAGTTGCAAATGCATTGATTCAGAGAACTTGAAAAAAATGTTTTGTGTCAAAGGCAGTTTAACCCTTTAATGCCTGAATTGTGTTCCAATCTTGAAAAAAATTATTTGTGCTTATTTTCTCTCATTTTCTCTCATTATGCTGACTCTGAATTTGAGGTATATAGTTATTTTGAAATTTGGACACATTTTTGATGCAAACAGTATTTACGTTTTTTTTAGTCCGGATCATTTTACTATTTTTATTGATATGTGTTTCTCTAAATATCCATGCAGAAAGAATAGAATATCACAAACTAAACATATGGACATTTAATGAGATGTAGCCTTACTTGTAAAATTGATGAAAAGTATAGTTTTAGTAGTTCGGGCATACAGTTACATAACTCAGCTGCACCTGCTTAATGTATACCTCTTATGGATGGGTACTTTGAACATTGCTGTGGTGGTTCTACTACACTACAGTAACACCCAGCAACATGTGCACTTTATTCCAGTATTGCTCTCTCTCTCCATATGCCAAGGTCAATGAACTACTTCACCTGCAGCATGGACTGTAACGTTCTGATGTGTATTGTCATATAGAGGCCAAGACCATTGTAAATCTTTGACTTATTTATGTAAACAGTGGTACCGATATGACAGTCTGGATGTACCCAATACACAACGACCGGCAGCAGTAGGATGAATGTACCTACGCGCATATGCTAAGTGCAAAATCTGTATGTCGCGAAAACGTGACAGTCTGCAGTTAAGGGTTAACCCTTTTAACGCAAGGTACCGCTTTTGCGCTCCATGTCTTAAAGCTCTGTGCCCCAGCCGACAGATAAATTGGCCTAAGACACTTTACCCCAGATAGATGCGCCATTAAAAAAGGATGTAAAAAGTACAATTTGTTTACCGGTGAGTTCCTGTGTGTGCGAATAAAGTTGGTTGATTCTTTAATTTTTCATTTCTATATTATATAATGAAAAGATGTTTTGACATTGACAAATGTGCATTCTAAACAAAAACATTGGAACAAGCAGTGGCTTTGGTTTGTGAGTCAGGGCTACAAGACATTATCATCCGGACATTTCCCCCCGTATTTACCCCCCTGTCAATTACCCTCCAGGGGAATTAACCCCCCCCCCCCCCAAGTTAGAATCCTAAATCCTAACTCTAATTAGAATTCTCTACCTATATACTACTTTAATTCTAACCTTAAGAAAAAGACCAAAACCGAAGCATCCACCTCAGCCTAAAACTTAAAACAATGCTAACCCTAGCCCTAACCCTAGCCCTAACCCTAAACCTAGTCCTAACTCTAACCCTGTCCGGGGGGGAGGGGGGGGGGGGTTATGTCCTACTGGACAGGGGGGGTAATTACTCCGGGGGGTAATTGATGGTGGGGGGGGGGGGGGAATGCCCTGTTCCCTGGAGTCAGATGAATGACAGCAAGTTCTATAGATGAGGAAACAGTTCCTAGTCCTGGTCCTTCTGGAGACAACTGGCGTGAAAGGGGACTAATCCCTACTAACCAGACAACTGGCGTGAAAGGGGACTAATCCCTAGTAACCAGACAACTGGACTAATCCCTAGTAACCAGGCAACTGGCATGAAAGGGGACTAATCCCTAGTAACCAGGCACCAAACAAATTAGATACAGGATGGTCGCCTGCTAATGGATTTGATGTTGGCAGATGATAGAACCTTGGTTGAACTAACTGGTCCTAAAAATATACTGGTTCATATTGCACTGACTTTTTAGAATTGTTTTTTAAACAATATTTTCTGGCATAACTTTTGTGGGCAGACAAAATAGACAAGCTGAATAGGTAAAAAATTATTTTACAAAGAATTATTATGCAGCTACAGCACTAGAGATAAAGGCATTCTTTGGACTAAGGATTCAAATGGAACACTTGTGTGTAATACAAGTACAACACAAATCTCTCACCAAAATGGCATACAAAGATAGGCCATTAAAAAAGTAAAATAAAAGTTGTGTCAAGTTTGCCACACCTACCTATGTCTAAAAGAAGGGTCTACAGAGAAATGACGGCCCTAGCCAGTCATTTAAGCAGCACACATGTTGGCGCAATAGTCTTCTTAGATGCAAGCTACACAGGCAATCCCCGGTCAAGAAAAAAACTGTACTGCTCACATGGTCCAATAAAGATTGACTACAGACGACTTATTCTTCTTTTTTGATCCTCTGTGACTGAGTGCAAGAAACTGTAGAAGGAAAACATTACATTTAGTGGCAGGGAAAACATTACAGTACTTTTTCCTCAGGAGGCCAGGGAAACAGGGATTTTTGCATCAGGAGCTTAGGGTTCATAGGGTTAGGGCTATTATTTAAATCTTTTTAAATCTAGCCTAAATTTTAACCTGAAGTTTCTCTTCAGTAAGACATTTGTTAAGACAGTAACTCAGTGGCTGATCTTTGATTACCCCACTTTTTTGAGTACTCAAAACTGAGCGGATAATTTTTTAAAAAATAAAATAATTTTCCTTCTTTTAACCCTTATGACCTAGTTATGACATTTTTGTTTACATTTTCAGTTGTAAAATGAAAAAATCTAATTGTTTTAGGCTTTTGAAAATTTTGTTATCAAAAAATATAAAAATTATTGATTGCATCTTATCTTTAGTAAAATCTGACAAAAACCTCACAATAAAGCTCTTATAAGCACATTTATTTTATGAACATAGCACAGAATTTTTAACGTATTTGAAGACTTACCTGGTTGGTCTCCTTTAAAATAATAATTTTTATGAGCCCAGGTATTAAATTTCAATATTTTAGTCTGTCTTCTAATCAAGATCAGGTAGATT